GCATTGCACTCCAGCCTGGGCGACAGAGCAAGAATCCGTCTCAAAAAAAAGAAAAAAGAAAAAGAGATGACAGGGACCAGGCAAGCCATGAGAAATGGAGAAAGATGAGACATGGGCCCAGGAGATGCAGAGAGCGAGACAGCAACCTTGGTCCTCGACTTCCTGGTCCCACTTCCAGTTGGTGTGAGGCCTGGTAGTATTTCATTAACTGTTCTTAGATTCTGTGAAATGCAGCCTCACAATAGTCCCCCTCATTAGCCCTTTATTCTTGAGCTAGCTTGAGTGGGCTTCCATTCCTCACAATGAAGTGTACCCAGACTAAGACAAGTGAAAATTGGGAATGTAAGTGCAGGGCTTGTGTAAGCAAAATCGCATAAAGAACGCCTAGGTAGAGAGGGGTGAATGCAATTGTCCAGCATTTGTGTTTGTTCATCCGGAAGCTCTCTTGTTCCCTGACACTTACAACCACAGCCACACGCTCCACACATTCACACACGCTGACATTCAATGGTACACAGAAACAAACGCAGCAGCAACCAGATATGGTTCTCTGCAGACCCCCTGACGTGCAGGGCCACATGCCAGCATGCAGTGTTGCACTTTGCTCTTCACAGCCACACTGCCATGCAGCAGTGCACACCCACATGCGTGAACACAGAGGTGCTGCCCGTAAGGCTCAGGGCAGGAGTCGAAGCTTCACTGAGCTCCATGCAGCCTCCCTCCCCAGCTGCCAAGTGACTCATCCCCAGGGCTGCTAATTAAAGCCAGGACAGAGGGGACAGAGGCAAGGGGAGGGGAAGAGAGAGAAGGCAAGTGTATTTCGGTGCCAACCAGGCACTCAGCCAGTTTAGGGGTCACCCACTTCCTGGGGCTGGGCCAGGCGGTGGTAGAACACAGAGAGGAAGGGGAGGAGAAGAAGAAATCTCTTACCCTTTCTTGCCCTTCTTTAGCTTTCTGGAAAGGTACCTCCTCCTCTGTCCCACTGTCAGAATCCAGTTCTGACTCCTCCAGACTTCTGTCCTTACAAAATGACTGTCTACCCCATCATCACGCTCCCATTTGGGCTGACCCGAGCTGGCTCATCTGTGTCTGCAGCAACCCCAAACTGGGAAGCAGTAAGTGGCAAGATTCCAGGCAAAGGAAGTGGTAGGAACAGGGCAAGGTGGGCAACCAGGCTGAGCCAAACGGGAGGCATCATGGGAGGTGACGCAGCTGGATGGCTCTGGGGATGGGTAGTGTCTTGGACATGTGGATGGGAGAGCCACGGACCGTTCATGAGGTCTTGGCCATTCCAGATTGCCAAGAGGTCAAAACAAGAGATTATCTAATCCAAACTCCTGTAGGACAGATTAGGGCACTGAGGCCCAGAGTGGGAGGCTCCTCCTCCCACTTCTCCTCCAACTGCAGTGGTTCCCGTTGCCATAGGGACGTCCCTGTCTCTGCGGGTGTCAGCAGCTCCCCCACCCCCTCCCTCCTTCCCTAGCAACAGGCCACCTCCTCCCGCTTTCATCCTTGCGTGTCTAGCAACCCCAGCCCGGTCCCCAGAGCCAACAAGTTCAGGTTGACCCTCACTGCAGCAGTGCCTCTAGGCCTGGGCCCCCTCATCTTCTGGTGAGGGCCTCATCAGGCCCCTCCTGCCCTCTCTGTTTTCAAGTTCTACACCTCTTCACATTCTTCCAGCCTGACTATATAGCGTATGACAACGGATTGGGTTAGGGGAAAGCGGAGGACACTAGTTTGTTGCGCCACTATTTCACACTGAGCGTTGCTTTACTTTAAGTTCTCTCATCAACCCAGAAAAGTCAAGACTGTTGTTTCCATTTTACTCATGAGAAACTAAGAACCAGAGAAGTTAAGTGATTTTGCAAAGAGCACACAGCTAGGAAGCAGGCTCTGCTGCCTCGAGCCTCGGCCAATCCCTCTCTGGACTTTGGCTTAAGGTGCCTTTAGGTCAGATCTGTGACAACTTCTCAGGGATCCACAAGAAGTCCAGGCACCTTTCTCTGCCCATGCCTACCCCCCACCCCCATCACCAGCTGTTCTGCTCTAATTAGACACCACACTTCCTCTGGCACCCCATACTTAGAAGCCCTCAGGCCTGGGTCATGCCAAGGGTGGCTTGCAATCTACCGACTCTGCTCTCTCCTTGTTATTCAGTTCCCATAAAAGCCCAGGCCTAGCGCCTCTCCTGGGTGTTTCTTCTACCCCCCAGCCCTTCCCCTTCCACAAACGCATGCACGCACACATGACGTTTATTAGATGAGGAAACTGGGATTCCAAGAGATGAACAGATTGTCCAGTCACACAACTAGAAAGCAACCTACCCCCAAATGGAGGCCTGTGCTTGGATCCAATGTTTCTGCCCTTCCTATGCCACAGAGCCTCGCCTCTCTCCTCCAACTTTCCCCAGCTCCCAACTGATGACAGAAGGTCGCTATGACCCAGCCCTGACCCGCATTCTGACCTTACTGCTCTTTTCCTGCCTAAATCTTCTATTTTAGCCCCACGGATCGCTCCCTGTCTCTAAACCCACCCGCCTCGCTTTCCTCCACAAGCTGATCCCACCTCCAGGGACACCCTCCTTATGCAAATCTGCACGGCAGTCCCTGACAGCCCTGCTCAGACACTGCCTGCTCCGGGAAGCTCTCCTTCACCTTAACTGGAGCGGATTCAAAAATTTACAAGTGGGTCCCTACCCAGCCCTGGTTGCAAGTTCAAATTGCCTTCCCACCATGTTGTCAAGATCTTGCCCCACACACGCCACGCTTTAGCCCCTTCCCATAGCCTGAGTTTGACCCTCGCTTCCCAGATGCTGACTCCTCTAGGCCCCTATAGCCTCCTTGACTGTGGGCCCAGGACGGATGTCAGGAAGCGTGTCTGAATAAATTAAATGCTGGCTTTGGAACCAGACAGCCCAAGACACTGACTCTCTCAGAACCTCTTCCCCTGATCTGTAAATCAGGGATTGTAATCCATGCCTATTAGGGCTGGTGTGAGCATTATATTCCAAGTTGTTAGTATGTGAGGAACAAATGATGATTGCTATAATTGCTACTATCAGGATGAGGATGAGGATGAGGATGATGATTATTATCTGCCAGGCTGCCGAGAGCTCCCGTGGTGATGGTATGGGTAGCACTCTAGGTTGGCGCCAGGCAGACTTGGGTTTGAATCCTGGCTCAGGATCCATATATTAGCTGAATCCACATATTAGCTGCCTGGCTGCAGGCAAAACCCATAACCACTCTGAGCCTCAGTTTCCTCAGCTGTAAAACAATGATGATAAGGCCAGCCCAGGTTCTACCTACAGTGTCACTGGGAGGATCAAACAAAAGAAAGTTCCTGACAACTTCTGTAAGTTGTAAAGGCCCAAATGTATATCATCACACGACTTATGATTATGCTCATTATTAAATGTCCTGAGCTCTATGTCCCAGGAACTTCCTTGCTGGGAAAAGCTGATAACTAGAGATGTTTTCAATCTTCTTCTTCAACAAGTAGCAGGTACATCACTGGGGATGCTTGCAGGAGCCCTGTGCTCGGGGTCAGCTCAGGTGGCCTCTCTCCAAACCCACGGTGGGACACTGAGATCTATTCCCTTTGCTAGACAGGTGCCTTCCTAAGTGCTAGGACAAGCTGTGCCCGTGACATGCTCCTTGGCTGCATGCTGGGTCTAATTATGTCTTGTCACAAACCCCTTTCCTGGACACTGGGACTGATTACATTAAGGCTGGCCTGTGTGTGCTCATCCCACAGCCCCAATCTTGGCTCTGGGTATCCCTGTGTTTACCCCAGATCCCCTGTCTGGGGTGCTAGAACAGAGGGTGTCTCATTAGACACTTTTGTCTGTATGCTGGCATCCTCTGTCCCCAGCCCATAGCCCCTGCCTGAATGACAGGACCAGGGCTGCTGCATACAGTCGGGCAAGTTGTGCCTTGCACAAAAGGTCACAGCCAAAAGGATACGAACAGGGGCTGATATCCAACCCGTGCTATGCTCAATGGAGCCACTCAGAGGGGGTGCCCTTGAATGGGACATCTTTTTCTATTCTTCACAAAGGTGCCAATTATGTTACTGTCAGCTGTAGCTGGGAAGGACTGTACCCATCTGTGCCTCTGCTGCCTGGGCTCAGCTCAGCTCAGTGGCCTATCCCATAGCCCCCAGCCTGGATGTTAAGGCTGAGTGGGTCCTATCCTGAGCACCCTCATCATTCCTATATAATCCCTATACTTGACACCTCTGCCTTCATGAAGCTTCTGATGGGGTAGGGCCTGGGAAATGCACGAAGGTCCCTTGTCTTTACCTTTACCCAAGTTTTACTCCTGCCTCCCCAACTGGCAGATTGAACACATCTTTAAAGCTTACTATGTCTACCAATGGGTCAGTAATAACAATAACAACAACAACAACAACAAAACGAAAACAAAAACAAAAACAAAAAACAGAAAATAAAATAAAATAAAACGTACCAAAGCTTGTAAACTTTTTTTTTACCAAGCACACACACAAAAAAATTTTCCTTGTCACCATAATGTATAGTTCTAATGTCTAGAATGTGTTACATCCAGAGTCCATTCAAATCCCACTACTCGGGGCTGGCACAGATTCAGGGTGGAATGTGAACGCTAGACCAGGGAAGCTCAGCATCAATCATGCCCTCTTCCCCCGGGAGGAGAAGGTGGAAAAGGTCCTGGGTCCAGAGCTGACCTCTCAGCTTTCACATCTGGGCAGCTCCTATGAGCCCCTATGGTGTTCAGCCAAGCCCCCAAGTCAACTAGTGTCAGAAAGACTAAGGAACAGTCTTGAACCCCCTCCCCACAGCTGCCACATCCCCCAACTGCCCTCCCACTCCACTCCATAGCCACCCTTAATACCAACAGGGAAGACACCCTTGAGTTGGCCCCTCCCCCTGCCCATGGATCCTACAGTTACAAACCAGAGGCCCCCACCCCAGGCCCTGCCCCATCTCCCAACTAGTACTAAAGAAAGGAGGTACTGACCTGACTGTTCTGGAATTCTCACCATCAGATCTGAAAGGGAAACAGAGAAAAAAAACCAAAACAGTCAGTATATGCTCTCTACTTTTCTCCCTCTGTCCTAGGTAGAGTGGCTTTGGGAGCCTTGAGGCCTAATGCACATCACAAAAATGAGGGGAAGGGTATTTCATGCAGAGAGAAGAGAATAGCAAGTGCAAGGCTGAGAGACAGTAGAATGCCTCGCCAGTTGAAGGGATGGAGAGGAAGACGGTGGTGCTGGGGTGCAGTGAGCAAGGGGAAGAGTGGTCAGAAGTGAGGTCAAAGAGGCACCAGGAACCAACCATGTGGGGCCTAGTGGATCACAGTGAGGAGCGTGGCTTTCCTCGAGGCAGCCAGTAGCCATGGGCAGGGGCAAAGCCCAAGCTTGAAACACAGAAAGACCTAGGTTCAGATACTGGTTCTGCCACTTACCAGCCCCATGACCTGGGCAAGTCACTTCACCTCTCTGAGTCTGAGCCTCAGTCTCCCCATTTGTGACATGAGGCCGATCCTCACGGGGCTGTTGGGATAATTAAACCCTTTGGAACCCGGTAGGCAAATGCCAGGTATTATTAACACCATAGAAGAGGCTTTGCCAACTGCCTGGTCCAACCTGCTTATTTTCCAGATGAAGGGAACGAGGTTGAGGGGATAAATGAGTCAGCCGCTGGGCTCCTTTCTACTACACTGGTCTGCCGTTTTCATTGTGAGGCCTCTTTAGAGGCAAAAGAAGGGCAAGAGAAGAGAATGGAGTTGGGACATCACTGAGGGAACCAGGGAATGAGTGAAATCTGAACCATACCCTTCCCCTCCCACTACGCCTTCCCAAGAAGAGTGTGAGAGTGTATACGCAAGTGCACACACGTGTACACGTGTGTGTGCACATGTGTGTGTGTAGGGGAGGGCGGATCAGGACAGTGGGGCTGGTGTCCACTGCGTGCAGGGAAGGGGCGGAGGAGGACCATGGAAGTTGAAAGTGGAAGCGTGTGGGACACGGACTTCCCCTTCATCATCTTCCTCCATCTTCACCTCAGGCCTCCCACCCTCGCTCATGCTGCAAAGGAGACAGAGATGAATACAGCACAGACTGTCCTCAGCTGAGAGAGCCAAGACATGGCTTTAGTGAGGGGAGTGTCCACCTATGCTAAGCGCCAAATGACATAGGTACACACAGGGAGAGGAGCAGGTGGGCCTCAGAAGGGAGCATTTGTTGAAAGAATGAAAGGAGGCCCCGCTGGCGAGGTGGGGCAGGCAAGCCACAGGGTGCTGCAACCACAGCACTCCCGGTTCCACTACTCACAAGCCATGGAATCCTAGGGAAGATACTTCACTATGTTGAGTGTCAGTGCTTTGCCTTATAAAATGGGGCTTTGGGGGTGGGCTGCGGTGACAGTCACTCCCTTTATGGGGTGTGGCTGTGAGGCTCAGCCTGGCACAGTGCCCAGCACATGGTACATGCTCAGCAGATGCCAGTAGCACCAACCCTTAGCCTTCTCAGCGCCCTGAAGGAACAGAGGACCAGGGCCACAGCGTGCCTTATCACATTTATTAAAATGTTCCATCTCCCTCTGCAGCAACAAGATTGCTTCTGAGGCCTGGCCCAATTATTCTCAGGTACCAGGCCTGAGGCGCCTGACTTCAATGACTCCCCAGATGCCTACAGAACTGAGGCCAAGCCCCTCAGCCTCTCTTCCTAACACTAACCCTCTGCTCCAGGCAGGCCGATCTCTTCACCACCCACCTACCCCCAAACCCAGCACACATGTGTTCAGTCTGCTGTCTACCAGGCCCTGCCCTGGGAATACAACCTCTCAAGGAGCTCATGGACTGGCCACTTACCCCAATCTACCCAAGGGTTTAAACAACACTTCTAATCACCCCCACCACCACTGTGAACAAACTATGAGTACCTACTGTGTACCAGGCAATAGTGTTAGCCTCTTTTTGTACATTATCTCCTTTGATCCTGCAAAGTGAAGGTTATTCATCCAACTTTAAGATGATGAAACTGAGACTTAGAGAGGTCAAAATGACTTGTTCAAGGTCACGCAAGTGGAGGAGCTCAGAGTGAACCCCAAAGTTCATGTTCTTACCACCACGCTCCACTATACCAGAAGCTCAGTGCCGGGCACATACGCACTATGAGGGTGAGTTCCCTTATCTTCATTCCTCAATATCAAGCCAGAGAGGCACCAACAGACCTTTCCTCTCCAGTGCTCTTTCATCTGAGAGATTATGAGAAACGCACCTCTGCTCCAGAAGTATTTCTATTTGATATGTGACAATCCTCAAGAAGGCAGCAAAGGGGAGCAAAAGAGCTCCAAATCATGATGCAGTGGGGAATTCGCCAATTCTCGCTATGGACTGATTCTTACTAGCTTGAGGGTGCACAGCATCATATGACTCTCAATGTGGGAGTGCAGCTCACCCCAGGGTTCATCACCCTTTATGCATTTAGCATATTATTCATTATGTATAGAACAACCATCAGTGCTATCCTACACCTCCTCAGAGGCTCATGTCCTGCCCAATGGTCATGAAGCTGGGCCACCATTCTTTTGGGAGGCAGTATAGACTGGTAGAAAGAATGCTAGGTCCTTTTATGGCTCATTCCCTAATTGGCAGTATGAACTTGGACAAATCTCATTTCCCTCTGGACCTTGGTTCTTCACCTGTAAAGTGATGGGGCTGTGTTAGTTGAGTTCCAAGCAATCTTTAGGTCTTAAAATATTCTATTTCTTCAGAATCCCAAAGTTTATCTCTTTTATCAACTAGATTCTGCTGTCTGCAAGGAGAAGCAATAGACCCAAGGACTAGATCCCTCTTCATCAATCCATGTCAGTAAAGGAGACCGCTTTCTCCTGCTATTCTCCACAGCCATTTATTTATTTATTTAGAGACAGAGCCTCGCTCTGTCGCCCAGGCTGGAGTGCAATGGCACTATCTTGGCTCACTGCAACCTCCGCCTCCCAGGTTCAAGTGATTCTCTTGCCTCAGCCTCCTGAGTAGCTGGGATTACAGGTGCCCACCACCACGCTCTGCTAATTTTTGTATTTTTAGCAGAGACAGGGTTTCGCCATGTTGGCCAGGCTGGTCTCGAACTCCTGACTTCAAGTGATCCACCTGCCTCGGCCTCCCAAAGTGCTGGGATTACAGGCGTGAACCACTGCGCCTGGCCAGACTTCTCTTAATGAAAGGCAGCTTAGGCCCCAGGGTTCTCAAGAGATTTGGATATGCCAACTCCCATCCTCAGTAGTGACAGCCAATAAACAGTAACTTGTTGGAGCTTTGAGGATAGTAACCATATTTTCTGAATCAAAAACAGGCATGTAATCTGACCAGGGACTTTAATGTTGCTTCTTCCAGGTATAAGAAGCAATTTGGAAGATGGGAGAATAAACGGCAGAATATTGAAAGTTCCTGAGCCTTTTGGGGACTTACAGGGAAGACAGAGCAGAATGGCTGAAAAGAACGGAGGCCCTGGAGCTGCTGTGTTGGAGTTTCTGCCCTTGCCTCTTGACTAGATTGCCTGCCATGCTCCAAGCCATCCATAAGCAGTAACTGGGGAACAATATGGTGCCTCTTCCCAGGAACCTGAAATTAGATCAAGAAGGTTGTCCCTGAAAGCAAAACTCATTAAATAAATACAAAATGCATCAGAAATGAGATATGTGGAGTAACTTCAGTGATCACAGACTGGTCCTCAAGGAGAGTCTGAATAACATGCCTAAAAGATCATGTCTCCCACAGAAAGGAGACTGGACATCAACAGAAGTAGATTTTTTTGTTTTGTTTTGTTTTGTTTTTTTTTGAGACAGACTCTCGCTCTGTCACCAGGTTGGAGTGCAGTGGTGCAATCTCGGCTCACTGCAACCTCTGCCTCCTGGGTTCAAGCGATTCTCCTGCCTCAGCCTCCTGAGTAGCTGGGATTACAGGCGCCTGCCATCATGCCCAGCTAATTTTGTATTTTTAGCAGAGACGGGGTTTCACCATGTTGGTCAGGCTGGTCTCGAACTCCCGACCTCAGGCGATCTGCCCACCTCAGCTTCCCAAAATGCTGGGATTACAGGCATGAGCCACTATGCCTGGCCCAGAAGTAGATTTTTTTAAGAATGAAACTTGAAGGGCAACTATGAACAGGGCTCCTCCCAGGAGTGTCCTTAGGAAAAAGAGACAGGTGCCCTGGCCCAGAAATCATGCGGGTCTCTCCAAAAGCTGAGAACCAGCCCCAAAGCAGCCTTGCACTTTCTCTCCTGAATATCACCTTACACCTAACTGCAAATGTCTTTGTGGGCAGCTCCTTTCTCACACTGACTGCTAAAGGAACTTTTTTTTTTTTTTTTTTTTTTTTTTTTTGAGATGGAGCCTCACTCTGTTGCCCAGGCTGGAGTGCAATGGCATGATCTCGGCTCACTGCAACCTCTGCCTCCCGGGTTCAAGCCATTCTCCTGCCTCAGCCTCCTGAGTAGCTGGGATTACAGGCATGTGCCACTGTGCCCAGCTAATTTTTGTATCTTTTTGTAAAGACAGGGCTTCCCCATGTTGGCCAGGCTGGTCTCGAACTCCTGACCTCAAGTGATCTGCCCACTTCAGCCTCCCAAAGTGCTGGGATTACAGGAATGAGCCACCGCACCCAACCATGTTTATTTATTTTTTTAAAATAGATACGGGGTCTCACTATATTGGCCAAGGTGGCCACAAACTCCTGGGCTCAAGCAATCCTGCCTCAGCCTCCCAAAGTGCTGGGATTACTGGCGTGAGCCACTGTACCCAGCCTAAATGCTGTTTTGACACACATGACTGTACAGTGACCACTTCCATTCACTCCAACTGTCCTGCAACTGAATAACTGTGCCCTCCTCTCATTCTACCATCAGAGTTATATCACAAAGTTTGGGTTAAATCAACATTGGTGGTCTACATTTTTTTTTTTTTTTTTTGAGACAGGGTCTGGCTCTGTCACCCAGGATGGAGTGCGGTGGCACGATCTCGGCTCACTGCAACCTCTGCCTCCT